TGTAAAAGAAGAAAATGTTTCATCTTTGTGTGCTAAAAACATAACCCATGTAAATCTTGAATAATCATCAACAATAACAAGACAATAACGTTTACCACCTAGACTAGATGTCCTTGAGGGACCAAATAAATCCATATGCAATAGTTGTGAAGGTCTAGTTATGGAAATATGAGAGTTTGATTTAAATGATGTTTTAGTTTGTTTTCCTTGTTGACAAGCACTACAAATATGATCTATTTCAAATTTAGTTTTTGGAAGTCCAATAACCAAATCCTTTCTCAAAAGTTTAGCAATTAAATCTATATAAGTATGACCAAGTCTTCTATGTCATAACCAATTATTTTCATTATTAACATATAAACATTTAACATCACTAGCATAGAGATCATTAAGATGAAAAACATAAACATTATCATGGCGATTACCAACGAATAAAGCTTTATGATCATTTGTGCTTTTAATTGTGTAATGCGATTTATCAAAAATAACTCGATTACCTTTATCACATAATTGACTAATACTAAGTAGGTTATGCTGAAGTCCATCAACAAGTAAAACATTTTCAATAGAAGGGTTAGGAGAAATACCGATGTTACCAATACCGATGATTTTTCCTTTCTTGTTGTCTCCAAAAGTAACAAATCCTCCATCTTTCAATGATAGTTTAGTAAAGAATGATTTATCTCCGGTCATATGTTTGAAACATCCACTATCAAGGTACTACTTCCCTTCTTTAGCTTTGAACTTAAAACAAACCTCCTCTTGAGTAGAGTCTTCATCTTCAAGAGCCATGAGACATAAGTTGGCTACTTTATTTTCAATTTCATCACTTGAGCTTTCATCTTCACTTTCTCCCCAAGCTGTTACCATGGCCTTTTTGTTTCTTTTGTAGTCTTTTCCATGATTCTTCAATTTTGGACAATCCATCTTTATAAGTCAAGGATTTTTGCACTCATAGCAAATTATAGGCTCTTTCTTGTTAGCTTTGTTATACTCTTTCTTGAAAGGTCTTCTTCCTCCATAATTGTTTTTCTTGAAGTGCTTTTTGAGATTTGTACTAAACATGGCATAGCTTTTATCCTCATTGGAGTTTTCATGTTCTTCTTCATTTGATGAGGCTTTAAATGCAATTCTACTTTTCTTTTTGTTTTCAACATCCTCATGTCCTTTCATGGTGATCTCATGAGTCATAAGGGAACCCATATGCTCATCCAATCTAAATTCATCAGAGTTCATTTTAAACAATTCATAACTATGAACAAGCATATCAATACGAAATTCCTTCACTTGGTTTGTACCTTCATACGTTATCTCAAGTTTGTCCCAAATTTCTTTTGCCGAATCACAATTTGAAATTCTATTATACTTCTTAGAGTTTAATCCACAAACAAGGATGAGATTGGCTTTAGCATTAGCTTACAATAATTTATGATCTTTCTCATCACATTCATCTTCAGTTTTAGGTACACTAATATTGTTTACTAATTTGGTAGTAATTTTTAGACCTTTAGTAACAATAAACCGCATGACACAATCAGTGGCTTGTAGGTATAGGGTCATCTTATCCTTTCAATGACTATAGTTGTTTCCGTCAAACAATGGTGGTCTATTTGTGGCTTGTCCTTCAGCTAAGGTTGCCATGGATCGAAACTCCTAGATGGTTAAATCTAAAACAAGAGTTTAGACTCTGATACTAATTGTTATCCAAAAGACAACCTAAGAGGGGAGTGAATTAGGTTTTTACAGTTAAAATTAATAATACTCTAATAAAAATTATGACTAGCACAATAGATAAATATAATTAATGAAACAAAAATAATTAAAACAATTGTCTTAACAACTATGTCAGTTAATGATTTTAGTACGGTAAAAATGTGAAATATAGTTATGGCAATTTAAAATAAAATAAAGAGATAAGAGAGTGAGAGGCAAACAAATTTATAGTAGTTCGACTTCAACTTGGCCTACGTCCACTCTTCAAGCATCACTTGAGATTTTTCACCATTTTTTAGCTTCACATGGGTGTTAGCAACCTCTTTACAAATGGAGCAATCCCCTACGGATTTTGCGTAGACTTCACAAACCCAAACCCTTGCAAATCTTAGGTGATTCACAATCACTCTCAAGATTTCAAGAATACAGTGTTTGCAACACTTTTATAAGATAAAATGGTATTTTTGCTTTCACGTAGACTTCACAAACCCAAACCCTTGCAAATCTTAGGTGATTCACAATCACTCTCAAGATTTCAAGAACACGGTATTTGCAACACTTTTATAAGATAAAATGGTATTTTTACTTTCAAAGAAAGCTTACAATAAATATCTCTCAAAGATAGATAGTCCTTCTGTCCCAAAATAATAGTCCCTTTTGAGGAATCTAACTTTTTTGGTAGTACAATTATTGAATTTTAAAAAAGTTAATTTTCCAAAATTACCCTTTTGATAGTATATTTTTTGAGAATATCAATGTCATAATTGTACTTTTTATATTGTTTATTAATTCAAAAGAAGGGCAAAATAAGAAATTTATATTATTTTTGTATTTGATTTTTTAAGAGGGACTAATATTTTGGGACAATGAAAAATGGAATAAGGGACTAATATTGTGGGACGGAGGGAGTATATAAAATGAAGTTTTGATTTTTCTGTAAATCTCACACAGGAAAGATGTGCTTAAAGCTATAAGGCTCAGTGTATAATTTCTGAGAATAGATGTGAGTGATTATAGATCAAAGAATATTTTCAGATTTTTTGTGACTTGTTTACATTAGAAGCTTATATAATAAAAATTATAGCCGTTGTAGTCATTTGAATTTATAGCCGTTCATAACCGTTGTACTTCCATCATTACCAATTTGAATATCTTCTACTCGATCATTACCAATTTGAATATCTTTCACTTGAGCCTTTTGAACCTTTATAGTCGTTTATAACCGTTATACTTCTATCATTACTAATTTGAATATCTTCCACTTGAACCTTTTGAATCTTTTGGCCTGTTGCTGTGCTAGGCAGTTTGAACCTTTGTTTTGAGCTGTTTGAACTCCTGATTTAATCAAATATTGAATACATTCTAACAACATTTAAGATAAAGGTTTAGGTGAGAAATAATAGGACAAAATAAATTTTGATTCTATTTTTCTCTTTCAAATAAATCATCAAAATAAATTTTGATTCTTTTTCTTTTCTCTTTCAAATAAATTAAAACATAATTAAATAAATCATCAAAATAAATAAGTCTAATAATTTTATATTTATTTTATATAAAAATAATTTAACAATCCATATACTAACAACTATCATCAAAACAAACACAATTTTACTTAATCTCTTCACTATCAATTCCCTTCATTCTACATCTGAAAACAAACGGGGCCTAAATGTCAGGTGTCGAAGTCCCATTCCTTCATATAGAGAGGGTCATAAAACCAATTATTATGCAAATTACAAATATTTTTGTTATTTTTTAGAGGCAAAAATCATTTTAACTCTATATGCACCTTGTGTAATTTATTTTTAAAATTTGAAAATAAACATATAATTACCATTATATGTTTTGGCACAAATTTCAAACTTGCTTTTAAATTTCAATCCATAAATCACAAGAGAATTTTGTGATTATTTATAAATGATAAGGAAGAATGTCTAGGTAAATTTCAATTCACAAATCACAAGAAAACTATATAATTATTTTTAAATGATAAGGAAAGAAATTGCACATGAACCAAACTACAAACTACATATTACAAAGAGGTGACGAGAAATTTGCAAACATTTTTTTAACTAAGCTAAATAAGCCTCAAAAAATTGAGAAAACAAAGGAAAAATTAAGAGGTATGCTTTGCAACTCATCTCGTTTACAATTTTGAGATTTTCATTTTTTATGATTTTGAATACAAAAAATAAAAATTAAAAACACATTTACAATTTTGAGATTTTCATTTATTGTGATTTTGAATACAAAAATAAAAATAAAAATAAAAATAAAAATAAAAACAAAATTGAAAACACGTTTAAAACTTTTAGATTTTCATTTTTTATGATTTCGAATACAAAAATAAAAATTAAAAACACTCCTTACAAAATGAAACGTGTCCTAATTCTATGGTTGAAAACATTGTATTTGTAGAGTTCTGAAAATTTCGTCACATCCATGGTAATTTGAATCTAATTGATGACAAGAAGGAAATGACATCTGATTGAGTCACCAATCAAATCAATATACTTTCATCTCAAATTCTGAATATTGGATCGCTTAGACCATTTCTAACGTTCATTAAATCAGACATCAAATTTGAAATTTGATGAAAAAATCACTTTTTAAAGTTTCAACAGTTTCACCAAACTGGTAACAATTTGAGAATTGAACAAAAAAATCATCAAACAAAGAACAGAATACAAATTTCAACAAATTACTGTTTGTGACCATTGAAGGAGAGGAACCGATCAACCAACCGGTTGCTCGGCCGGTTGACCAACCGGTCGACCACGAAAACGTTCAAACAATTCAAATGAGTAGGTTCAAACAATTCAAAAATATATATATATATATATATATATTTGCCTTACCGATCGACCAGCCGATCGACCACTAAAAAGTTTAAACAGTTCAAATAGATAGGTTCAAACAATTAAAAAAAAAAAAAAAATTTTACCTTACCGGTCGACTCGACCAACCGTTTGTCCCTGGAACAAATTTGATGAAAATTAACCATTGGAACATTCTTTATGAAATTGAGAAAATGATCATTTTTTTACTCAAATTTGATAAAAAATTAGGTGAACCGTTGGAGATGCTCTTGCTAGAACAAAATACAATACCAGAAATTACAAATAAAAATAAAAATGTTTCAGCTGAATAACCATTCATGAATTAATTAGGCATATTCAATTTGAATGGACATCAATTCAAATCGCAACGTGTATAGAATGAATATAGTGTTCCATTGACATACATTACCAATGCAGAAAAGAACAAAATCCAAATGCAATAAATAATTGACAATCAACAACTAGCTTTGTCTATACAGAAATTCTGATATAGTTAAAGCAGATCATTCAAGCACATGCACTCTGAAAATACAGGGCATTTACACTGAGTTGTAGAGGTATTTATACAGGAAAAAGAGAAGGGAAGAAAAAATGAGTAGAATAAAAACAATCCGAAAACAACATTTAGTTTTCCCAGTGCTGTACTTAGTTGGAAGATTTGGAGAGGAATTTAAAAAAGAAAAAGAAAAAAGTGTGCGAAATTAGGTAAAATTTAAGTATATTTTATTTATATTTCACCTACCTTTTTCATTTCTCTTTCCAAATCCCTCCTCAAATCTCCCAACCAAACACGGCATAGCCAACACTAAAATGATTTCAGATCATGACAAGGAAAGCTGGATCATGAAAAACTCAAATTACCTTGAAAGCATGCAGTCAAGTGCTGATAAATCAGTGACAATTACCAAATTATAAAACACTACAACAAATTATGGTACAAAAAAAATCCCAATTCTAGTGTCAGTACTGGTAAGAACGTTGTGCACCAATGGTCTGGTAGGGAGTTTTTTGGGCACTGATGTTTTGGTACAAGGCTTCCCGAGAATCCATGTTCTGGTAGGCAGTTTGTGGGATATTGTTATTCTGGTATGGGTTTTGTGGAGTATTGATGGTTGGGTAGGTGCTTTGTTGAGTACTGTAGTTTTGATAAGAGCCTCGTGGAGAATTGATATTTTGTCCAGCAGAAGAAATGTATGCCTCAAAAGTACTCCGGGAGGCATTCAAATGCTCAGAAGACCCATGAATCTCAACAGAACCACCAAAATGAGGATCTTGGTACTTCAATCTCGTTCGATCAATCTGGATATTAAAGAAAAAAGTCTTAAGTAATCCTTACATAATTAAAAGCAGTAAATATGAGAAAGAGAACTTACTAAAAGTTAGATGAAATATCCAATTAATGATTTGGAGAAACTTATTCAGACGTTGTAACCTAACTAGATATTAGTAGGAAACATATTTTTCACCCCTCCTCATCATTTCTCAATTTTATTAGTAATAAAATTCCTTAAATAATTTCTGCAATTCCCCGAACGTTTCCAAAAAGGTTTCCTTTTTGCCTTTCTTCTAGGAAAGACCCATTAATAGGAAGGAGATTTTCCCAATTTTAACTGAGAGTTCCAGCAGAATGGGCTAAACGAAGACAGGCAGACACCTAAACAAATTACCAGCCCAACCTATATCAAATAGCAGAACTTAGTTCTACTACAGGGCTCTCCCAGTAGAAAGTTCATGCTGAACTGAAGTGTAAATAACATTCATAAAATAAAAAAATTGTTGTGAACACAACACTGACCTCACTCGTGTTGCTCCCTCTTGTTCCAACTACAGAACCTACGACATTGTTTCGCATCTTCACATCCATACCACTGTTGATGTTAGGATATCTGGAAGAAGAAAAAGATATTAATGCTCTCCATCAGACAACATAACACTAAATTAAAATAAAAGTTATTAAAATCAGAATGAGTCAATACCCGGTAGGACTTTGAGGATCTGGATAACGCCTGGGTTCATAGTCATGTTCACCACCCTTCAAAACAGCATCAACAATGTCTTAGTAACATGGCAGGGACAATGCTTTGAAAAATCAAAACCAAGAAGACAAACAAGCAACTTGCTTGTTAGTCAGAAAAATTAATCTATAACAACAGTCAAGAATTAGCCATGGTAACATCCCAAACAATCTAAGACTTCTTGCAAACATGCATCCTCAAAAAGCCAACAGTATAGAGTTGGAATCAGGCCTCCATATCTCTTGGGGAAAGAATTACCCCCCAAAGAATCTCCTCATGCACCAAAGCTAAGGCCCATTTGGTGATTCTATCTCCCTGAAATAGCACGACAAATCCTGTGCACGGAAGTCATAAAAACGCACATTTTGAGTCTCAGAATTAGTCCCCCATCTCTTATGTGCAAGAAGTACATGCACAAGAGCCCCCCAATAGGGGCATCGTTCTCCATCTCTTGGTAGTGATTGCAATGCAGAAAAGAGGAACAATAGAAGTTATCCGTTTGACACAAGAAATTTGAATCAACCACATACTAGGTATACTAAGCTTGAAACTTTTGATAGCAACAAAAAGCATGAGATTTGTACACGTGTAAGTTCACTTGTTTTATGCTAAAACATGGTTTTACTTCACATGAATTAGTTGTTATGCCCAAGACTTATGTACCACCTAATACCAGGTAACTTGTGAAAGAAAGTAAATTTTATGCAAGCTAACTTCAAAATATATTCAAACAAGTCATGGATGTTTTCTAGCTTAATACTTGCCAGACCACATCTCTACGGCAGTAATGATTAAAAAAAATAAAAATTTAGGTATTGGCTAGCGAATATAATTATAATGAATCAACACAACTTGATTCAGTAAAACTGACACTGCAAACAAAGCCAATTAAGCCATTTTTTGCAAACACAATGAAATTTTTTATGAACAAATAACTGATCAAAAGACAGGAGCATTAACATTGGAAAACATCGAAGGATTACACATAAAGCTTTAAATAGAATATACCTTTACAAATTCATAACCTCTTGAGCTCCCAGCTCTTATGGGGCCAGACGGATGTGGCCGCCCTACACCAGGTAAACTTCCAACACGGCCAAATCCCTTAACTGGCCCAACTGATGAAGGTTCTGCTCCAGCATTGACATCTCGCAGACATCTTTCTCTAAGTCTTGATGCTATCTCTGCCAGAGCATCTTTCGCAACACCAAAGTATCCAGATATCTAAACTATCAATAGCATAGATCAGTTCAAGTAATAGGAAGTGTCATTTATATAAGCAAATACAAGTGTGTGTGTGTGTGTGTGTGTGTGCATTCAGAAAAATCAAACTTCAACAAACATGGCAGATAGCAACTAGAATTAAATTAAAAGGCAGCCACCTAACCTGCACGAGCTCTTCATGATCAGCTGCACATTTGGGCTTATCCTCCTTGGAGAAAACACGTATGTCTGCCTGGGTTCTCCTCCTCATCTCATTGATTACATGACCACCTTGTCCAAGAATGCAACCAACCTTACTTGATGGAACAAGAAGTCTAGTGGTAATAATTCCTTTTTCAGAAAATTCACTCGTTTTGTTTTGAAGCAGAAGAATGGCATCAATAGCCTGTGATCTTTGATTCGAGAGAGTCTGAAACAATTTCAGTAAAATGATGCTAGTACATTGATAACAATAAAAATCTAGAAACAATAAATACACAAAAGTTTGCTTAAATGAAGGATGCTTCTAAATCAAACAAACAGATGCATAAGATGGAGATATGTTTTAAATGTCTACACATGGGGGTAGGGGGCAGGAAATAGAAAGAAAAAAGGAAAGAAATGAAAGTCAACCTCAAAAGAAGAGACACAAATCACACGTTCCTCTGACTCTGCTGATGCATCTTCTACATGAATACTAGCTCCTGTCTCCTCCTGCAAGTGTTTTACATTGAAACCTCCCTTGCCAATGACTCCACCAATTTTCCCAGCTGAGCACAAAATTTTCATAGAAAACTCACTTGGCACCTCCCCACCATACATACGAGGACCGCCATCAAAACCACCCAGCCCAAATCCAGAAGGCTGGTCTCCAAATCCTCCCATCCATGGCATTGGTGGCATATCACGGGAATCAGAGTGCTTCTGAGACCACATTGAATTTCCTGGAGGGTGCAAATTAGCCATAGAAGGACCAGGGGGATGAAAACCTTGGCCCCCATGGGGCATAGGGAAGTTCAATGGAGGTCTGTCCTTCCTGGGATTCTGATGCAGCAAAGTGGAAACCTCATAAAGAGCTCTCTTTGCAACTGCTGGTTTTCCTGATATCTGTAGAATACATACCAATATCAAATATTTTTTATTGGATATCTTCTTTTTCCTTCTTTTTCTTTTTCTTTCTTTCTTTCTTTTAGATTAAGAAACTGTGCAAATTAATCTGCCAAACTGAGCGCCTTAAAAATGAGCAGCTAATTAAAGTACACAAAAACTCTCTACAACAAAGAATTCCAACAAGATAAACCACAAAAAAATTTATTTTTCTATTTATTATTCTCGTGACTTTTTCCCCTTTCTTTCCAGCAAGGGAAAGCAGTAGAGAAGCAGCAGTAACTATATCCAGTCTCATCACACCAGCATAACAGAGTAGCTTGACCAAGCATGTCCCACCTTTAGAATTAAGCTCACACCACCAAGTTGAGTGGTCTTCTCAGCTCGCCTAAACGACCCCACTGAGCAATATTGCTAAGAAGGCTTTAATGACGCCTAATTAGACTAGGCAATTATGAATCTATTTGGTTGATTGATAATAATAAAAAACAAGAAGCACTTTCTCCAGTCAGTTACGTCCCTTCACCCATATATATATATATCAAATATCTACAAGAATAGTCTTAGAATCTAACAATTAAATAAACTAATTGGTAATAACGGTTTAACAAACACAACATAACATAATGACCCTTGATCAACAAGGTCAAATAAAAAACAGAAGACCCCCAGTTATGTGTAAATGCCCCAAATGGTAGAAAGAGATTTGGACAATTATGACACAAAACCATGAAGATTATCTTAGAAAGTACTATAACACGATTTTATTTCAGGTAATATATTTATAAGTGAATTAGGATTGTTCATACAACTGAATCACCTGAAAAATCCGACCGGTACAACCGAAAAATGACTGTAACAGACGGTCTCGTTAAACTGAATGGCCGGCTGCGGGCCATCAAAGCCTTATAAATCTAGGTCTTGGTCAGTCATCGGATGCCTCAATTAGAAAACCGTTGAAATCGACCAACCGACATGTTAAATAATATATTTTAAGGTACACGTGGCTTTGTTCTATTGACTTACCAGACTACCATATCTCTACACCTTCCAACTGTCTTGTCTTTAAATCTCATCTGTAATCCCTATTTTCTCTCTTACACGCACGCATTGGAAAAACACTTAGAATCCCAAATGTTTAGACTTCTCTCTCACACACACGTTGGGAAAAACAACCAGAATCCCAAACAATAAGAGCTCTCTCTCGTGTCTATCTCTCTTCATTCATTTTCTATTTCAACCAACAATATTGAAGCTTTGAAGGTGTTAGGCCAACATCAGTGATGGTGTTTTGAGTAAATCGTTTGCTTTTGATTCACATAGATCAGTGGCCATGTTGAAATCTTCTTTCCCAATCATCGTCTACAATTACTCTCCTCTCCACATTGGCTATTGTTGCTCAGTGCTTGTGAAACAAATCAACAATCAGTTGGTCTTTTTGCTTTGTTGCAAAATTAGGCATTCTGATTTTCTAGTTTGCTAAGTTTAATTTGCAAAGAAAGATTTTGTTAAAAAATTAGGACTTTCTTTTTTAATTTTTTGTTTGATAAAAATCTGGATATCTACTGATGTTATTCCTGATTTCGCCTTCCAATTTTTTCCAGTCAACACTCAACCCAAAACAAAAAGTGTCCAACCCGTCATCCGATCGTTACTGACCTGCCAAACCAAGTTACAGTGGCGGTCAATTTTGACAACAAATTCAGTTGAAATCGGTCTCGCATGCATCCAGCCCAACTAAGGTCAGTCGAGTGCCAGATTTGTGGCAACCCAACTCGACCCATGAACAGCCCAAAAGTGAGTTATGTATGTGTGTATATATATATATATGCCAGGGGCATCACTCACCAATTTTTTTACTCATATTTCCTTCTCCTGTAGGAATAAAAGGCATACATACATGTAAAGAAGCAGCAGGACGAAAGAAATGCTACCTGTACTAATTCATCAGTGCTCCGAGCACAGATAGGAAGATGTTCTGCTGGAAGAACACGAATACTTGCACCTGTATCACTTCGTAACCTCTGAATGACATCCCCCTTTTTTCCTAGAAGGCATCCTACCGTATTATTTGGAACAAGAAGGCGTGTGGTGACCACATTTTCATTACCATCTTCATCTTCCCTTCCACCAACAAGGTCTTCCTCAACAATTCTGTCGTGAACTTTCAAGAGAGCATCCTGTGCCGGGCAATGAGGCTCCATGGAATCATCTTCTTTCTGTGTGTCTGGATCCTCATCCTCATCACTGTTGTGTTTTCTATGGATCTTTGTAGCAGGGCTATAGATGATTATCTCTCTTTCATCTGAGCCAGGGACAGAATCAGCAACAGTAATCCTTGCCTGCGTCTCTTCTCTAAGGGCTCTGACTATGCTTCCACCTTTTCCAATAACACTACCAATCTTTCTAGAATGGCAGAGTATCCGATAAACAGTATCTGAAGTGTGGGAATTACCAGAAGATTGTTCCCGACTAGAATTAGACCACTTTCCTCTTTTGGCACCTCCCTTTTTCTTAAATTGTGTGTTAGGGAGTTTCTTAAAGAAGGGTCGCCTGTTCCCTTCCATACTTCCACGAAAACTATATATAAACATATAAGTAAAATTAAAAACTAAAATAAAAAAGAACAAATATGTGAGCAAGGTCAAAAGACAACAATTAAATAGTTGTGAAAAACATCAAAAACCAAATGACATGGAAAAAAATAGGGCAAATTACAACCCCCTCGAGGTTTGGTGAAAATACAGATTCCCCCTAAGGTTTGAGAAATTACATCCTGCCCCCTGAGGTTTATATTTTCATAACAAATTGCCCCATGAGGTTTTTATTTTCATACAGATTCCCCTCTAATTTCTCCTAATTTGTTATGAAAATTTGACACTCAGGGGGCAATTTGTAATTTCGTAAATCTCAGGGGGAATCTGTACTTTTATTTTGTAATTTGCCCAAAAAAATAACAAGCCGTGTAATAAGCATATGACTGCTAGATCAATAATCAGTTGTTATTATACTATAGTTATACATAAAAAGGTCGTGCACTCACTTTCTTATAGAATATACAATCTTTTTAAGCTTCTTAACATGTGCCCCAAGGGCACACCTTAACAAAATCCTACATAAAAATGCAAATTGATTCATATGATAAATTGACATCCGTATCAAATTGTGCGAAAAAGTTGAAGCACCAATATATTAAAATTCTTGTATTCTTCAATTTACATTAATCCAATGCCTTGTCATTCCCCCATCAACTTCCCCCCTATAAACCTATCCATCAGCAAATGTGTGCGTACATGCACACAAAACGTTCCTAGTAAATTAATTAAGAATATTACACGTAATTCTATAACCAGATGCCAAGATGAAATACAAGAATCCTTTCAATGTAAAAGTTTGAATTAATGAAATACCTCAAGATGTAGGTTGCAGATTTCAATAACACCAGAGCCTACTGACGTTATACACCTACCCTAGCCTTCAATTGTGCCTCCAATTGTGTGCTAAAACAACTCAAACTTTTCTTTCACTTCCAGGCAGAGTTCAACTATGCTGAAACCATCAAAAAAAAAGAAAACAATGGACGTTTCAGTGAACAAATATCACGCAAAATTGTGCACGTTCCTTATTGACGATGTTATGGTTGCAAAAAGAATGAAATTCGTAAGAATGAATAAAAACCCTAGTACCAGCAAGGGAAAATCAAACTGCTTTGAATAAAAGCAAAGTTTTCAACTGTTTGGTGTTTAGTTGCTATAAAATTCGCGAAAATAAATTTATATGCCACACAAAAAACAAATGCTACATTTACCTTCAATCGAATCTATAAATTTATATGCAACACAAAAAACAACTTGAACCTTCTCCGCAAAATAGTTTGAAGGAAGAAAGGGTCGGATAAATCGATTAATCTCGTTCGTGTGAGAACTAGGTCAGGATTTTCCAGCAATGGTGCAAAGAAAGTAAAAACTTTCCCGAGAAAATTAAGAGGAAAGAAGAAAAGATACATACCACGGAGAGATTCGAAGAGATTTCAGCTGCGGGGAGAGAGAGAGAGAGAGAGAGAGAGAGAGATGTTAAAAGCACAGTCAGTGTGATTGCCGCTTCCTTTGGAGCGAACCCTCCATCTCAGAGAGCGACAGAGAACATAATAGGGTTCGGTTCGGCCTGGCTTTGCTTGGACTGTCTTCTTAAGTTGATAGGCTTTAAAGCCCATCACGTGTTTTGGGCGTTACAGGTTCAGTGTCTTATTTTGATACTACGAAGAAATATCTATTTTATGTTTTGACTGTTGGATGTTTTTGCACCAGTTATGGCATCTCCAATCTTTATTCACTTTTTTTCATTAAATTTAAGTAAAAAATTGATTACATGCTTGATGGAACGTTTTAATTCTTACTCTATTTTTTGGGGGGAAAATATCAAAAATATGGAAAGTATAAAAAATAATTACAAATTTATAAAAATACAACACTCATTTAGCACAATTTAATGCATAAATAACTTTTATTTTTATGAGTTTGTAATTATTTTTTCAACTTCTCACCTTTTTTTATCAAAAAAATAAATAAAACTTCTCACTTTTTTGATATTTCCCCCTTTTTTATCATATTTTTTTTAAAAGATTTCTAAACTTATCCTAAAAATGTGTTTTAACTTTATTTATGAAAAAAAAAATCATCTTTAATTCTTACTCTTTTAAAAATTTAATCATATGTAAATAAAACTATGACTATTCAAGATTTAGTAAAAATTTTAATCTTGATTTGGTAAAAAATTTTAACCTCTCTTAATTCAATATAAAGTTTATGAAGTGATTTTAGCTCACTTTTAATTTTTTATGGGTAAATTACACTTACACCCTGAGGTTTGAGTTTAATACATATCATCCCCTGACATTTGAGAAATTACACTAACCCCCTTGTCATTGTAATTATTTAGACCGAATGAATACGTTGAACTCGTGCACTCTCACTTTTTTTGTTTTGCTTTACTTTCTCTTTTTTTCTTCATTTCCTTTACTTTTTTTTTAATGTAATTTCCTCTATTTTTCTATTAGAAGTTGTTGCCTTTTATATAAACAAGGGGGTTGTGAAATGAGACTATTAACCACAGAAATGGAGATGTAATTTCCAAAACATCAATGGATGGGTAGTAATTGAACCAAACCTTATGGGGTGTCCATGTAGTTTACCCATTTTTTATTCATCAAATTAAATATTTAGGATAAATTATAAATACACTCCTTGAGATTTAATTAAAATACAAATCACTCTCTGTAGTTTTGAAAATTACATTCCACCCCTAAAGTTTCTAATTTCATAACAAATTGCTCATTTTATTAATAAATTATCAAGTCAATTAATAGTTTTTAATGATATTAAAAATATGTCGTAATTTTATTATTATATAAGAGAGTAATTATGAATTTTATTTTTTTAATTAATTCTGTTAAATAAAAATTCTAATAAAAAGATATTGGGCAAATTACATATACACCCCTCGAGGTTTGGTTAAATTACAGATACCCCCTGAGGTTTTGGAAATTACATCCCGCCCCCTGAGGTTTGTATTTTCATAACAATTTACCCCCTGAGGTTTATATTTCATAACAAATTACCCCCTAATTTCTTATGCAAATATAGCATTCAGGGGGGAATTCGTAATTTCTCAAATCTCAGGGGTATTTGTAATTTAGCCAAACCTCGAGGGGTGTATATATAATTTGCCCAAAGATATTTGTAATTTTTTAAATCATAAAAAATAAATTATATTTTAAATAAACTTCAAAATGTGTATTTATAATTTACCTAAATATTTAAGAATTTGGTGAAGGATAGTGTGTAGAAGGTAAAATCAACATAATAATGGGCCTGACACAACCATGTTCAAGGAACTGACCGCTCCAACCAAAGCAGCCCACAAAATAACCAAATTAGGGCAAGACAGCAACACTATAAAGAGGACCACCCCTTCAAAAAGAGGTATGCCCCAATTATTGCACACTACACTACATATTACAGAACACATGGTTCTTCCCCCTTGGTCAGTCTTCTCTAACATTAATAGAAATTATCAAGTTAATCTAAAAACATTACGGAATTATATACTTATTTAATGATGTTTTATAATTCATCCATTATATTACTTATTTCTTTATTTTTCAAATAAAGTCACCAGTCCCCGTGCCTTGCATATATGATCCGCTTTGGCATTCCGATCGCACGGTTTTGTTCTTCTCCCATTGGGGGAAAAGGCCTATGCAAGGTAAGAGAAGCCAACCTGCTTATAAGGTGAGAAAGTAGTCCCTCACAGACCGATGTGAGATTTCCCGCACATTAGCCCCCAGTCGCGCTGGCTCCGGCCACCCCTGAGGGAGTTCCCACAGAGGGCGCCAAATAAAGCCACCGATCCCCGTGCCTTGCATATATTGTCCGCTTTGGCATTCCGATCGCACAGTTTTGTTCCTCCCCCACTGGGGGGAAAGGCTTATGCAAAGTAAGAGGAGTCAGCCTGCTTATAAGCTGGGAAAGTAGTCCATTACAGACCGATGTGGAATTTTCCGCACATTAGCCCCCAGCAGCGCTGGCTCCGGTCACCCCAGAGGGAGTTCTCACAGACGGCGCCAAATAAAGTCACCGGTCCCTATACGTTGCACATATTGTCTGCTTTGGCATTCCGACCGCACGGTTTTGTTCCTTCCCCACTGGAAGAAAAAGTCTATGTAAGGTAAGAGGAGCCAGCCTACTTATAAGGTGGGAAAATAATTCCTCATAGATCGATGTGAGATTTTCCGCACAATATACATATTTGATTGTACTATTTTTTTGTAGACAGGATTTTGATTGGACTATTAAGCGAAGGAAAACAAAACTAGCATAATGTTCTTTGAAATTGCCCCCAAAACGTGAGTCGAGCAAGTTTTTTCAATCCCAACAAGTCATTTGCATGTGCACCACGTGGACACGACCGTGCCATACATAAGCCCATTTTAGGAAAAATGGTAAAAGTTGATTTTTTTTTTTTATAACTCTTTTTTATTTTGAGTAAATTACACTGATATCTCCTAAAATTTCTATTGAATATAGATTTTCTTTTCACATTTAAAAAATTATGTTTTTCTCCTTAAAATTTGTAATCTCATTACAAATTGTCTCTGAATTGCTGATACTATGTCTTAAAAGTTTTTAAATGACAATTTTGTCTTTTTTCCTGCCATTTCTTTTTTCTGTCATCATAATTACATTCTATAACTTTCTATCATTAAATTCTACCTAAACATATTCTTATTTAGTGATGATATACAAACATAAAATTTATATAGAATTTTCAAACACAATAATATAACTTAATGGTGACCTTTTTCTTTAAAACAAAACACCCATAAACATGATTTATATTTACAACAATATCACTATCAAAACAATTTATGATATTTTTTATAAAAATAATTTTTTATTTGCATTTCTACCACTATGTTAGATTAAATCAATTTAATCTAGATATATTTAAAAAGTATAAAATTCAAACAAAAATATTTTTAAAAATGCATTGAATATAATAAAATAAGATAATATATTAAATTTTTATATTTTTTTGTATTTGGTGAATTTAAAAAAATACAGAATATTATACTGCTTAAGTATATTTAGATTAGGTGTATCTAAAAAATAAATAAAAAAAAAATTTGCTTAAAATATTTTTAAAATTCAGTAAAAATTAAAAAATTCAATTTTTTTGTGTGAGTTAAATTGAATAAGATGACTGTTATTTCTTTTAAAATGACATGAATAAAATATCTATATTATTTAATTATTTTATATGTATAAAGGTTAAGAGGCAAATATGTTATTTTAATTTAACAGGGGAGTAAGTATAATTTTTTAAATGTAAAAAGAAATCTGTATTAAATAAAAATCTCAAAGAAATATCATTATAATTTATCCTTTTATTTAAAAAAAAATTGTAAAAAAGAAATAGATAATATGACTTAAAAAAAATTAAAAAGTCAATATGGCCTCGTTTGGTAAGAGGCTATTTTAGCTAATTAGTCAAAAAGTTACTAAATTAGCCAAAAAGTCAACAACCCATACCAAAAAGTCAAAGATTCTCTTTTCTCTCTACTTTTTGCACATCTTTTCGCAATTAGCCAAAAAGTCATCCCAAACATACAAATTTTTTTTACCTACCTTTTTAGCCAAATAACTAAAAAGTTACTAAATTAACCTGTTCCCAAACGAGGTTTGATTTTTTACCCAGTGGCCAAAAAGGCCATAAGCTCCAATGTGTTACAAAAGTTGCTGAGTTTGGTTTATGAGTTTAGGAAGGGATTTAGATGAAGCAAAAAATAAAATAATAAAAAATAAAAATAAATAAATGTGAATATTAAATAAAATATAATATATTTAATTATTATTTCACCTATTTTTTATTTTCTTTTTCAAAGTTTTCTCCAAATTCTTAAACTAAATTCCCCTCTAAATTCTTAAAATCAAATACGATCAAAATTTCTATTATTTAAAAAGAAAAGTTACAATTTAATTTATTTAATTAAAAATATTTATAAAATTTAAATTATAAGTTTTTTATGTAAAAATACATAATAAAAAAATTACATTCTAAAAATTCTTACCTGTAGTTAAATATTTCTTCAACCACTTTTTACTTATTGTTAGTCTTCTCTTATTTAAGTAAAATACTATAAACTTACTAAAACTCAATAATGTTAGGATTTAACAAAAAAAAATAAACTAAGAAAAATATTATATAATTTAAATTCATTTAAAATGTAAATATAAGTGTTGAATCTGAACGTTATCAGAATTCTTAGTCACTAAGATTATTAATAAAAGAAATAATTAGAAACGATACAAATCAAATTATGGCAAGAAACTTATTCGAAAAATGAGTGAATTGTGTACATTAAAAAATAAAAAATAAAAAATAAAAAATCAGATCAGAAAATAATTTAAAAAATAATTATAAATTAATAATAAATTTTAGGAAAATTTTATTTTAAGGTCTTTGATATTAAAATTTTATAAGATAAATGACATATTATATTTTCATAGAAGTTGAGTCCCTCAATATTTTCACAGAGAAATTTTGTCTCGGCACGGAGAAATTTCAATTTTTATAGAGGAATTTCTCCGGTATGATTACAGAGAAATTTCATCGAGAGACCTTAGCTAATACAAAAAAAAAAAAACATATTTTTCTCACGCCGACGCCATTTGTTCACATTTTTAATTTTTTGAAGTTGACTTGGTGGACTTGTTCTGGGGCCACTTTTAAGGCTCATTTGACAAGTGTTTGTTTGGGGGGGTAAAAAAAAAATTTATTAAAATAATTAAAAAATTAAAACACTCAATTACACTACTTTCTTTAATTTTTATATAATTTTTTTCATAAAAAATAAAACTAAAATAGACAATTAACGAGCCCAAAAGATCACAAGTGACTCATCCATGTTTGTCCCCTCTATTCATATATATATGTAATCACATTTGTACATGTCGATTTCACAAAGGGCAAAAAGGTAAAACCATAAATCAAAAAACAGAAAACAAAACAAAGTACTCTCACTTTGATCAGGACCGTCCAAACTCAAAACTGAACTCTAGCTAACCAATCGAGTTGTCGGACGCACCGGATAGTCAAGCTCCAGCTCCATCCTATCATCGGACGACTCACGCCGACGACTCTCTTCATTCCTCTCCTGACTCACGCTGTGATATCTCGAAACCGGCTCGAACCCCAGAGTCAGCTCCAGCTCAATCTCGCCGTCACCAGACGAATCATTCGTCTTCAGAATCGACTCATCCGGCTCCGCAGTATCCAAGCTCTCCTCTACCTCCCGGCTCTCACCGTCCACATTCGCCGCCGCCGCCGCGGCTGCTTGAGACAGGTGACTCAGCGACGACTCGTGACTCGTCGACCGATTCAACTCACCCCCAGGCACAACATTAACCAGGCAAGCCTTAGGCTTGACAACAGCACCTGACTTCTTGAACCGGCACCGATTCCGAACCCGGTGAACATCGTTGGACCCGGCAGAGTTATCGTCCTTGGAAACATGACGAAAGTCGTAAACTTTCAAAGGCGGGCCATTGTTAGACTCGGCCGCTTCGGACGCAATCTGGGTAATCGGATCCCCCTTCAGAACAGACTCCACGGCGTTCTGACAAAGCGACCAGCTACCGGACCAGAGCAACCCGACGGATCCATAAATCGGGTTCACAACCCGGCCGCAAGCCTCGTATAGGAGTGAGCGAAAGATTGCTGTAAACAAAGAAATGAATGAAATTAGAACATGGGTTTTTGTGGACTAATATGGAAATCATAGGGGCAGGACCCAGAAAAGAAAATTAGAAAAGAAATATAAGTGGGTGGTTACCGGGGCGGAGGTGTTCGGGGCCGGCGTTGACGAGGTTGATGAGGCCGGCGCGGCCGTAGAACTTGGCAAGGAAGACGGTGGCGTTGGCTTGGGATTCGGGGCTTTTGATCCACTGAAGGCAGGGTCTGATGCTGCAGTTGTCGCTGCAGCCTTTGCGGAGGACTCTGCATCCATTACAGCTTATCCGCATTGTTGTTGGTGTTGTGTGTTTAAGAATTTTTAGAGAGAGAGAGAGAGAGAGAGGGAGAGAAGACGAACCGAGAGATGAATGGAGATGGGTTGGCTTGGGTTGGGTTGTATGTGTGTGTATATATATTGAGAGAAAGAGGCGTATTATATTTATAATTCGCATATAAGAGGTGAAGGCCACTGGGGTTAGGTGACGGAGGTACTTGAGGCTGCAGTTGTTTAGAAACCAGGTTTGGTCATTCAAAGTGAAGTGGGGTCTGTACCACTTCAGATTTTTGGAGATACAAAATTACGAACGACAGTATGAAAAGTTCAAAACCACGCCCGTGTATAGCGCGTGATCTCACTCCCCAATTATAATGGTGCAAATCATCTCACCATGGCGAAGGCTACCCCGATTCCCTCCGTCATTAAAGTGCAACTTTCACTTTTTAATTAAAAAATTAAAAAATTATTACTATAAATTATTATTTTATTTTTTTTAATTCTTTTACATATCGTTTCGTAAAGAATTATTAAAATGATTTATTCTTAAATAAAATATTAATTTCTTATTTTACTTTGCATTATTTTAAAATATTTATTTTTTAAGAAAAATTAAAAATTAAAATAACATAAATTTTTTATTTTATCATTCTAATGTTTATTGACTTCACAGAGAGAGTGTGCGAAGAAAATAAAAGTAGAAAATTACTTCCACCTCTTTTGGATAATATTAAAAAAGTCAATTTATTAATTTATTAGTTTATTTAATTTATATTATTTTTATATTTTTATATATCTTTTCGTAATAAATAAAAATTTCAATTTATAAACCATATTTCAAACAAATAATGAAAAATGTTAATGATTTAAATTAAAAAATTTAGATTTAAGTTGATAAAATTACAAAAATTATATTTATTTTATTATAATGATCAAATTTTAGAGTTAATTGATGTGTAGGGATGACAATTTGAACCCGGCCTAATGGGGACCTGACCCCCGACCCTGAATTGAGCGGGTTTTTCCCGAAAAATACCTTCCAACGGGACGGGAATGGTATTCACAAATCAATCCCCGAACAGATTCGGGCCGGGGACGAGGATAAATGTCCCAGCCCCGTACCCAGCCTGGCCCCGTCCCCGCCCCCGTTTCCCAGCCCGGTTTATCCTCGATGTAAAATTACTATTTTACCCCTATATACATATATCTATATAATATGGAAGAAAGGTTTTTAAAAATGCCTTGTAAAATTACAAGGTATTTGTTTCTTTGTTATCTAACTTTGTTTTTTTCTTGGGTTGCTTTTTTTCTTGGCCAGATATTTTTGTTTACTTAGTTATTGTTTACGCTTTCTTCTCTCTTAATTATTTTCACTTTGCACAGTCACTCTTTCAATTCTGTTTATATTTGTTGTTTGTTAAGAAACGTTTACTAAAACCTGATTTGTGCTTGCTCACTGAGATATAAATTGTTTTACCATGTGACCTCTCTTTGACTAAGATATACGGTGAGTTGAAGCTTTATTTTGTTTATATTATATTTTTATAGCTGATATTCAAATTTTGCAGTGGCAGAGGTATTGTCTGCACATGTTTTCTCTGCATTTGAGGATGCTAGACTAAATGATGATAAGGTATGATGGGTGAGGCTATTCAAAGTATTGCATTACATTTTAACTCTTTTTTTTTTTTTTCTTTTTCTTTTCTCAAATAAATCCCTTTTCATTTCTATCTGAATTCCTGCGGTATAAAAGGTTTTGTTAACTGGTACCCTAAGAGCACTTCTTAAGCAGCTTGAAATGGCTGTACATTTTTTTTTAAATCTATATAATATGGAAGAAAGGTTTTTGAAAATACATTTGGATGGCTCAGGTGAATCCTAATAAACATCCATGGCTGAGATGATTTTCATTCCCGTCCAAATGTGCTCTCTCTCTCTCTCCCCCTCTCCCACGTCTGCCCAAACACGCTTTCAGTACCACACATGTCTTTAACACCCTTTCTACATGTTCTCTCTCACATTCTCATAGAAGAGACCTAAAAATGAAAATCATCATCATCATCATCTCTGAACTCGCCACTATCGCCTCCGTCTTCGCTTCCTTCATCTACCTCCTCAGCTTCTTCACCCATGTTTCTCACAACGCCTCCTTGCTCCTCCTCTGCCTTCGCTATTGTTGATTGCGCCGCCCCCCTTCTGCAAATCGTCAAATCAGTGGTTTATGGTTAGATTCCTTCTTATTAGCTTGAACTAAAACTCAGCGATTGTTACCGTGCGGCGTCGATTCGACGCGAGGCGTTGCAGAGGCTCTCATGGAGGTCTCTCTGATCTCTCTAATTTCTGTTATTTGTAATTTTTATTTTTGTTCAAATTTTATGTTGTAGATAGAACTTAAAATAAGATAGAACTATTTTATCAAATCAGTTGAGTAGTGGTTTATTGAATAATGGTTTGTTACTGTAGATAGAACTGCTCTGAATAGTGGTTGAATAATGATTTTTTTGGTTTTTAGTACAGATTTTTTTGAGATTTTAAAAATTATTTATGATGGCCTCTTATAGAGTTTCGTTTTAAAATAAAATGGATTTTATTAATCTTATTCGAAGGTATGAATTTGTTATTGATCTTAATCTTAATCTAAAAAGGAATGCATATGGACCTGGCGAGCAGTGGATTATTTATATTCCGTATGTTCTTTTCTTTTTCTTTTTCTTTTTTTAATTTTTTTATATGACATCCACATTTGCCAAATTCTGTAATATTGTTCTATTTTTCAGGGTATTCCAAAAGTTGCAATGCCCGTGAATCAGGCAACTTCTGAGAGGGCTGAAACAGGCGCAGCAGCAGGTGCACCTGTCTCTGGAGCACCTTATTCATCTCCCTTGAATTTGTTTCCTCAGGTCTAACATTAGTTTAGATATTAGATAGAGAGTTTCAAGTGTATCTTTACCTTTTATATGTTTCCTATATTTTTTACACTGAAATATCTCCAGGAAACAATTTCACATTCTGGTGTTGGTGGAGTTGGCTCCCTAGATTTCCTAAGAAACAACCAACAGGTTTAGTTCCTATTATATTTTTTGCTGTCATTCCTTGCTTTAAGAAGATTGTAATTATAGGAGTTTGGTCTGATCTTAAAGCTTTGCATTTGAATAACTGGATCTACTTATAGTTAAATAGTTTTTTGCCCCAATAAAGTTTTTTATGAGATCAGATCTTCACAACCATCAACCATGTACTTACTACGAGATGAAATCAAATTAGACCATCTTCATTTATACATATTTTCTATTGAAATTGAATTTATTTCTTATTCGTTTTTTTAATATTGTTTGCTTTTCAGTTCCAAGCATTACGTTCTATGGTGTACACAAATCCACAGATTTTACAGGTTCATATGCATTCCTTTCTTATTCAGTTAATATGCTACACTTTTTTTATTAATCTTAATCTTATTGAGGTATCATGCCTTCAAAATCTGTCACCATTAAAGAATTTATTACTTTCCAACATTATTCTATTTGTATAATATGCCCTTTTATCACATCTTCCCCATCTTTTTAGTTTACCCTACTATGGTGGCTTAATTTTCGTCTTCATAGCCTTGCCCCACCATCAAATACTAATTCTCAAAACACATTGTACAATCAAATCAAGATCATCATAATTTTCAATACATAACCAAATCAACATCATCAAATTCCAAATCAAATGTCTTTCCTCGCTATGAAATGATGTAGATCTATATTGGATGGGTTACACTGGAGAGATGGTGTGGTAGTATCATCCCTTACAAAAGCATGTTTAATGTGCTTGACTCTTATTTTGATATGTTTGAATGCGCATACAAAATTAAAGACTCTTTTAAGTCAAATGAAATGAATAAAAAAACATCATAATTTGAAGATGGTCAATGAAAAAAAATCCCTCAAAATTACAAACGAAACAAACATAAATCTTTCAAGCAAACTCAAGGAGGTGGTTTGTTGGTGTTTAGCCATTTAAGGTGTTTTTGATCTATCTTAGTAAGTAATCTATGGTTTTTCAGGATGTGGGCTGATTTTGGAATTCGGGCTCTTAGGCAGGTGGTTGTTTAGATAAAAATGTATTACTCTGATCTATATAGCTTTCCATTCACTGGAAACGAAGAAAAACATATGAGGATGTGAAATTGAAAATTTTAAAAAGAGAAAAAAAATGCCTTTCTTGGCTAAGTGTCCGTGTCCTTCTTTTTCACCTAGAATAAAAGTGATCATCTTTATTCCTCTAATTTCAATATTCTTTTTATTTATATATTTACTTACATAAGTTGTTGATTTACAGATTTATCTCTCACTATGTTATGCTCTAATTGCTTTGGCTGCGGGAGCTTATCTGCATATCCTCTGGAATATTGGAGGCCGAGAAGCATTGTTTGGCTGCTCTCAACCCCTCCATATGAAGAGGTAGGCATCTCTTTCTTTTGTGTTTTTTTGCACTATTTGTTATCATTTATTTGTTTTGCATACATGATTTTAATTTTGAAGGTTTCACTCTTGATGGTGGCTGCACTCTTTGAAAGGGCTTCAATTGGTCCACTGATTGAATTGGCTATTGAAATTGATCCAAGGTAAATGTTCGTTATATCTACTCTTTTACTTTTTTAGTGGTTTTGATAATTATTTGTAATTGTGTTTCTTTCTTTTGGTTTTGTGGGTTGTTCTATCAAAGGACTGTTCCTGCAAACCCTAACAAGAACAGAGTCTTTGATCATCAAACCATTTTCTAGTAATTGTGGAAAGGGGCTTCACTTCTTTGACATTTGAGCCTTTGGGGACCTACATCGTGCTCTCTCGCTCTCTCTCTCAGGTGATTTTTGTTGATTTACATAAATAAGTATGTGTGTGTGTGTGTATGTGTGTGTCAAAAAATATACCTTTTTGTTATATAGGTTTGTTTGAAGATATGTTTGATGAATTAGCTCTTCACACAACTACGTAACAATCTTTAACTACTACTTTTTTCGTGAACCGTATAGTTATATGTAAATGAGGTTTGTTGTTTATATAGAATTTTATATGTTAGCACTTCCCAATTTGATGTGTTGGTTTGATGTTGAATAATATTGGGGAGCAATCATGTGTTTATTTTTTAAATGTGTTTTCAAATATAATTGTTTATTTATTTATTTATTTATTTTGGATATGCAATAATCTGAGACATAATTTTGGATGTGAAGAATGCATGAACAAATGGGAGAAATGGGGAATTTCTTAAGTAGGTAGGAGGGTTTTTGAAAAGTGTATCAAAATGTATCAATGGTTGAGATCAATCTAAGTATACCTACCAATCAATTCTTAGCAATGGTCAGATACCGATTATTCTTTGTTTTTCCTTTTCCCCTCCCTTTTCTATCTTTTGTTTCCTAGCTCTTTTTTATTTTTTAGATAACTGAATAAAGAATTCTGTTCGAAATCAAAATTACAGCGTTGATAGGAAATTGATTAACTGGAATACAGGGAGAAACTGAGCCTAGGCGCAAAACACTTTTTCTGATGATGGTTTATCAGACAGACTTATGCCACTGGAACTCAAGTATGTGTTCCAACTCCAAGTTTTTTTTTTTTTTTTTTTCAATTGGCCTTCCATGTGTTTTGTATTAGCCACAACTGGTTGCATATGAAATGTTTGATAAAAAGATTCAGTTAGAAGGATCATTTGCTGACAGATGTATTATCATGTGCAACATGTCTCCTATTTGGAACTCTAAAACCTTTGTACACTTGAGAAAAGTCTAATTTCTATATTCAAACATATTATTGTGATTTGTGAATAAGGTACTGCAAATCCAAAGAAAAATCAAACACTAAATTTTCATTATTGATGAGTTCGTTTTTTAACTTTTATACATTTGATTCATTGTTTCTAGATTTATAGATGTTCCGTTAGGTGATTTTTGTGTAGTTAGTTCAGTTTATAGCTATAGTGAGCTTTTGAACTTTTAAAAATTGGTAGTGGGTTTTGTAATTTTTAGAATTTTTGTTTTTGTTATGTTGTACACAACTTGAGACAATAAAGAGCCAAATAAATGGGAAAATTTCTAACCAGATTGAAACAAAGGAAGTGTGAATATTGGAATTTACTGTCAAAATTAGTTTTTAAAGTCTCATTCTGGTATTTGTATTAATGAAATTGCCTATTTGTCTTGATAGAAATATTAACTTGAAATTTTTGTTATTTGGTTTATAGTTGTGCAACTTGCTGTCACTAGAATGTTCTGTTGAACTTTTTGTCCATCTCCTTTATGACCTTAAGGGGCTTCAAGGTTATGTACATTTTTAGGGTTATTTTAGATTGTTTATGGGTCATTTAGATTGGGCTCCATACTGTTATTATTAGAATTCCATTCTCCCAAACTCACAAATTTTTGAATTAATCTAATACATTTGATTTGAATTCCATTCTCCATAATTAATTACAACACCTCCTCCACAATTAATTAAACTCATCTCATTCTCTCTGTCACGGCTCATTTGTTTATTAAATCCATCCAAGTACCAAGAACTTTGTAATCCACCCGAGATATAATCGGATCTATATTTGAACTGGTAGTGTATTTGGGTTTGGATTTGTGATTTTCATTAAGTAAGTTATGACTCTCATTCAAAGCTCAAACTTGAGCAACAATGGAGTTCAAATAGGAAGAGAGAGATGTAGAGGAAAAAAAAGAGACATAGCTCTCTGCTAAAAAAACCCGCTTAGGTTTGCTTTCCTTTTCCAAGAATAGTGTTGTTTTTATATTAAATTGATAATCTATATAATAAGATGGAAGGGTTGGGATTACAATTATATTAAATTGATAATTTATTAAATAGTGTTGGGATTACAATTATATTTTAATCTTAACATTATGCACGGGCATACGCTAGTATATATATAAACCAAACCAGGGGTCTCACTTTCACTTCTCTTTCTCTCACAGCTGCGTTTCTCATCTCTCTCTACCTCACTCACTGATTTCTCTCTTTCTCTCTCAGATCCACCACCACCGCATCTCTCATCCACTCCCTCTTTTCTCGACGTCGCTGACCACAACTCTCATAGTCGCCCAATCGCCATGATTACCACCTTCACAACCGTAATCTCCTTTGCGAAACGACATTATCTTCTCTGCTTCGAACACGCACAGTCGCCCTACCGAACACGTCACGGACCACCACTCCCAAGTTGCTTAGCTGCAAGATCAGATCTTTTTTTGTTTTCTTTTCAAATCTGTTTTATATCTGTCTCAGATCTGTTTCACAAATTTCAGATCTGTTTCAGATCTGTCTTATTATACACAAATTTCAGATATGTTTTCATTATTATATAGACCCCAAACAATTTCGGATATGTTTCATTATACACAAATTTAATATGTTTTCGTTATTATACACATATGTTTTCAATTTAATTTGACTTACACATTTGTTGTTCTTGATGATGATGATGATGATGATGATGTTGTTGTTGTTGATGAATTGCTATATTTTCTGAAAACTTTTTTTTTTTTTTGGCCGGGGAATGTTCAGGGTCAGGGAAACCCGATCCCCGTTAGGGGGCGGGGGCGGGGGCGGTGATAGGTTCTCCGTCGGGGATCGGGGCCGGGGCCAGAGGAAATTCAAACATCGGGGATCGAGACCGGGGCCGGGGGAAATTCAACCATCGGGGATCGAGGATGGGGTGTGTGATCCCCAGCCCCGTCCCGCCCGGTTGCCATTCCTATTGACGTGGGCTGAAAGGTACCACATTGAGGTCGCTTAAGTTACATTTATAGTCTTTCAATTTTGTTTAATTGGTGGAGATGATGTATTTTGTGCACTTGTACAAATTTGGAAGGAAATATGTACATTCAATCAAAAAAGGGCGCGAAAGTAAATTCTCCTTGCGAGAAGCGAAAATATCGAGCTAGCCACCTCACCGCACATACGGCCAAGCTTCACTGCACATGCGGCTCACCACCGCTCGAGCGGCCCACATGGGAGCTCAAGCAACCCACCTAGAGATGCGTGCATGAAATTTTAATGCTCTTTTCCTGGGAATAAAAAGAAAAAGAGAGCACTGAAAGAGGGTTCGAAAAATATTCTAAGAAAATGAGAGGCTAGGGTTTGAAAAGGGGATTTTTCCTCAAGCTTGAGGGACAACTTCCATAGGGGCTTCTTCCTCTTCCATCTCTTCCACCTTTTCTCATTCCTCCATGAGTGGCTGGGTTATTCCTTTTTAGGGTTTTGATTAAACCCTAGCTATGTAATTCGATTTTCTCTTTGCGTTTTGATTATGTAAAGGTTTGAATAAATTGTATGGTGTTTATGAAGTTTCAAATATTTATGTTTTTATTATCTCTTTAAGTATTCTGCTTTCTGTGATTATTGAA